AGAGAGAGAGAGAGAGAGAGAGAGAGAGAGAGAGAGAGAGAGAGAGAGAGAGAGAGATGTCAGGACAGTGGCATGTATTTTGCCCAACTGGTTTGGTGGACATAATTGTTTGTTTGTTGGTTGTGATGTGTGCCAGTTGGTGGCATGAAGGGCTGTTAAGGGTGCCTGTGTTCTTTAAGCGTAATTTAGAATTCTGCGGGCATATTCACACCAGGACTGTCCAGGATGTATCTAAGCACAGTTATGGCGAAGCTCTGTCCTTAAAGATGTTTTGCGAGTTTGTCCTTATGATTCTGCAAAGGGAAAAGGGGATTATGGTACACTAGTTTCAGCTTTACGGTGTACTTGCACGGGGACTTTTTCCACTTCTCTGTGGACGTAAATTGTGCCCCAGGTCCATCCAGCCTAGGTTGGAAAAGCGGTCATATCCATTCAGGAAAGTCGTTAGTGTGAGTATGCCGTCAGCCCCTTAGATGCTTGTAGACTTAGACTCTGCTGACCTGACCGGCAAGCTTGAAAGTCCGTCCAGTCCGGAATACTGAGTAAGAGGAACAGAGGGTATATCTGCAAATTGAACTCGCACACGATGATTATCGTAAACAAAAAAAAAAAAAGACACCGATGGTCATCGTTGACTCCGAGACTGGGATCTGGTAAACATCTGCGTGCCTTTTTTTTTTTTTTTCATGGACTTGACATCCGTGTGTATTTCCATTGTGAAGGAATATTTTCATTTCTGTTTTCTTTTTTTGCTTTTTGTCGACTATTATTGTGGAGCATTTGAATTCCCTCAGCTAGATATCAGTAGGGTCTTTGGCCAACACGGGTGTGAGTGTGAGTGTGAGCATGAGTTGTTGTGTATGGTGTGTGGGAGATGTGTGGGAGAGTGTTGGTCTTAGACACTGCTACTACTTGATGGGGGGTGGAGGATGATGAAAAGGGAGGCAAAGCTACTGGCAAAATGCTTGGTCTTTGTGTTATCCGGATTCCTATTGGCGGCCCCCAACCCTGCACCCCCTTAACTGCCAAGGCAGGGGGCAACATGCAATATCCCCTTCACCTGGAGAGGTAGTTATGCCTTGCAGGCGTCCCCTCTATATAGCCTTAGGAATAGGTAGGCAGTGAAAGGCCAAAGAATTTTGAGGGAAAAAAACAGAAACCCGGTTGACCCTCAAATGAGAAAAAAAAAAGAGGTTTTCAGCCGTGTACCGACTGAGGTAGGCCAGCTGGTATTTTTTCCTTTCTTTTTTAACGGCTGGTGGGGCGGCATTCCCCCCCCCCCAAAAAAAAGCCCAGGGTGTTGTAGAGGCCAAGGATCAGACCCGCGGTGATTGCTGGTAGAGGCAGCCAATGGTTGTCCGTACAGGGTAGGCCACCTATCTTACCCATCCCCACATTAATACTCCCAGCGGCAGTGACAAGCACCAAGGCTGAGCCGACCAGCCAGCCCTAGAGGAAGCGGAAGCGGACGAACCTTGCCGTATGGGAACTTCGGACGCCAGGCTCATGCAGTCTTCTACAGGCCCAATTCAGGCAGGCCAGCGCCTGCGGACACATCCTACCGTCCTTCCCCTAGCTTACCCAAGGCTAGGCGGAACTCAGACTAGCCGGAACGACTTATATCCCTACCCTACCCTAGAGCTAAGCCATGCGCGAGTAGACCCCGTCATATACCTGATAGACCCCCCCAGCCCAATATAGTAATTGTGTGCATATGTCTGTGCCCAGAGGATATGTATGTTTGTATGAGCTCATAGGGCCATGTTTTTGGTGTCTGCCCGAAGGCTATGTGTGCTCTGTGTAACTGTATAGCGAGATGTATGTGCCCAAAGGCCAGATATGTGCAGTACTATGTAGAGGGAACTCCGTGTTCGTTTTGGAGAGATGACAGGCCAAGCTGGACAAGAACCCCCACCAAAGTCCGAAGCCAGACTCGAACCCGTGATCTGTGACATGTGACACGAAGACTCTACCATTAGAGCGACAATCGCGAACGACCCGTGTGTGATATACCAGACTGGGGAAATCAACAGAGCAAACATGGGCAACAGCCACAAGCAACCCACACAGTATCAAGACCCAACATACAACACCATGGACAAACCCTTGGGTGGTGCGCAGACAGTGTCTGTATAAGCTTACCGTGGGTCAGCCCAAGCGGTATGTGTCCAGCCGTGCGTCATTGTAATGCCCTGCCGGTGTCCATGCACAAGGCTGCAATTGAGTTTTGAACCCGCAACCTCATACTGCAATGTGCATTTCCAACCGGTGCTCTAACTACTGAGCTACATCGTATCGGATGGAATGTGTGGTATCCGTCCGATTTGTCCAGGATTTGAACTTAAGATACCTGCTCATGAGGAGTTACATGAACATGCATGTGGACCGAAAAAACAAACAAACAAACATGCATGTGGACTACTGAGGTGGGCTCTGCAAACATTTAAAGGGCTACTTCTCTGATAGAAAGGGTTGCCTGTTTGGCAGTGCTAACACTGAGAAGGGTTGGGAGGTTCCTGTTCTTCTTGTCCCCTTTTCCTGTCCTATGACAGGGTTTTTTTTTTTTTTTTTTTTTTTTTTTTTTTTTTTTTTGGATAGGACAGGAACCTGATCGACAACGGATATCCAGGGCCTTGCCCGAAAACTTGCAAATTGGTGGAGAGTTCCCATCACCGCGGAATGGCCTCCAAAACTCACCAAAATGAGGTCAGGCTTGGCCGCACCACCTCCCCAACTTCTCTTCTCACGCCATCCTATCTGGTGAGGCATGGCCGCACCACCTCACCAAACTTCTCTTACTCACGCCATCCTATCCCGACAGGTCGGCTAAGGACAAAGCAAGCAAACAAGAAACCGGTCCCGACCGGTAGGAAACTCACCAATTTGGAGGCTTGCCGAGAGCTCCTACCAAAAGTCGATGTTGCAGGCGGGGACTCTCGGGTGGGTTTGGTGAGTGCTCACTAACCCAAAAATTTAACCCACCGGAAGTCGCGGCTTGTATACCGCCTGCCATTGCTACAGTGCCGCGATGATTCCGCTTGAATGAATTTATATCGGCACCCCAGACCATTCATCCCAGCACGTTGCGGCTTGTATACGGCCACGACTTTCGGAAGTACTGGTGGTTTAACTACTTCTGACTCCTGACAAATCTAATGCTAAAAAAGATTGGTGAGGTGGTGCAGAGACGCCGACGTCACCAGAAACCAAGTTTGGTGAGGGGTGCAGTGAGCCCCATAATGTAAGCATGGGAACTACCGTATTAGAGGGATTTATCCAAGGTCGTTGAGGGAGGGGATACTAGATGCCAACGCTTTGGGCCTCCATCCACCACTCACCATATGCTCATTTTACACATTTGGTGAGGGATGGAGCGAGGCCCTTTGAGTACGGCCGTGCCAATTCTGGAATCGATTGGCGGAGGCGGCGAACCAGTTAACCGCTTGAAAAGACCAACAAGAAAATCCCCAACTGTACCCAAATGATTAAACCGCCAGTACGTTTGCCCGCTTGAAAAAAAATAGTGTGGCGGTTAACTGTTTCCCCGCCTCCGCCAATCGAATCCAGCTGGACTCGATTCTGGATTCGGGTGGCGGCTAACTGTTTCGCCTTTGAGTATGGCCGTGCCGATTCTGGACCCGAATGATTAAACCGCCAGTACCTCGCCTCATATCGGCCGTGGGCGAGAAATTCAACTGCGCGCCACTGTTTCGCGGATGTATGTGGTTGAGGCCGCCCGCTGTTTCACCGCTTTCCGTGTCTCCGCGTTAACCGCCACACAATTTTTTTTCAAGCGGGCAAACGTACTGACGGCTTAATCATCCGGGTCCAGTTATTCTAAGCGCTGCAGTGAGCAGTTGCTGAACTCCCTGACGAGTCGGTCACAACTGGAGTAGGGACTAGGAAAAGCTGCAGTGCTCCCAGTGACCCAGTCTTTCATGTTCTGGGAGATTTTATTGGTCTTTGTGGACTGTGGAGAGCGGAAGAATAGGGCGGACCCGTGGAGTCATATGCCAGTGTAGTGCCTGACTCTGAGACTACATCATCACCGGAGAGAGTCCCAAATAAGCTGAAGTATTTGGACTCTCAATTACTGGTCTCCTCCAGGGGTCTTCATAGTGAACTACCATCTTCACTCGAATACAGCGCATGGTCATTATAGCTGTATTCGGGGCAACTCTGAGTCTAGATACAACAGTACATTGTATTCGGGTGAAGACGGTAGTAGTCTGTGAGAGGCCTCTGTTGGCCTGTACGGAATACTTGGCTTTCCCCCCCCCCTTCCTTTTTTTTAAGGGTGCTTGTATTGTTAGTGTACTGGAGTGGGTTCAGGTGGACTGGTAGTAGCAAACAAGCGTCGCCTTGGAGTGCGCCAGTGCATCCTTCTCGTGGACCAGTGGTTTAGTGCCTCTGTTGTACTTTGTTGCCATGCTATTGCACACGTTTTTTTTTTTTTTTGAGGTAAGTACGTTCATGTCACTTTTGAGTATTGAATGGGCCAAAAAAACATGCGGCGACAAAGAAAACTGCTCCGGGTTCGAAAAGGCAACGAAAGTACCGACGGCCGTGGTGTCAGAACGGGTGTGTCTTACAGGCCGTGGTGTGAGGGTTTACCCCTCGGCTTAAGGCCCTACAGCAGGCGCGTGCCCGCCCGAAGTGAAGTCGGCCGCCCTGAATGTCAATGTGCCCTGAGTTCGTCAATTTTTGCAAATCTTGGCGGGCGCCAGACGGTTGCCACGCGCCAGTTGGTTACATCCTCCTTGCTCGTGAGAATCCAAAATATTTGTGAGCCTTTCAGGCTCTTCCAGCAACGTGGTCGAACTTCAAGCAGGGAGCACCGCACGTTTGTGACTGAGTGGTTGGGCATGGCTAACCAATTCGGTCCCAGGCCACTGTGTGAACTGGCCCGGGTGCAGACACTTTGGCCGAGACTGAGGCTACTGGAAACTTGGTCTCACATGGGAAGCAAGTGGAAAGCGCCCGCCACTTTCCATATAGGAAAGGGCTGGGCTCCGTGTTGGGGGCTGGGCACTTGCGTGCAGACGCGGCAGTGCTGCTGGAGCTAGCGCTTGCCGGCTGCTGCGTTAGCGCCTGGGCAAGTGTGCGCGCGCGTGCAGTCATGCTAGAAGACAGGGCGCTGCTGAGGGCAGCGCCATAGCCAGCACCACGTAGCAGGGGCTGGGCTTGGATAGCCAGTGGAGGTGGTGGTGGTCTTCGTGTATGAGGGAGAAGACGTGGGTGATGAAGACCAGGG